ACACACACACACACACTTTCTCACTAATCTGAGATTTATTTTCATTAACACGCTCGCATTCTCGCATTTTGAGATAATTATTAACCGTTTTCTCTTTCGCATGAATTTCGTCGTCTTCCATAACTATTTTCTTCTCGCTATGCTTTTTATTTTAAATTTTATTAACAATATATTTATATTCAATATTATTATTTGTGTGTGTGTGTATTTTAATCAATTACATTTAACGTTATTTAGGAAAGATATACTCGTTGTGTTTATCGAATATTCAAGCAATTAGTGTATTAGTTAAACAATACAATTGTGCAATCGTATGTTTGTTTCCATCTTTGATTGCTTTGTAATCCCTTTTGCGCGTTGTATTATAATTTATTATAATTGGATGAAAATGTTATTTTTTTTTTTTTAGATACGAGACGAAATAGAGAAGTCAATATTGTTTGTATCAAATACAACTATCTAACATAAAATATTATGTGACTTATTTTTCTTATTTTTATTAATATAATATTATTTTGTCATTTTTCTAGATAAACGCGCGAGACGGATAATGAAATATAATATTTTGAAAATATGTACTGTTTAATTAGATTTTTATTAATCATTTTAATGTGTAAATAATAAAATAAATTGGATTATTTTACAATTAGATACGCGAGACTACGATTAGAGAATCCGGATGCGATTTCAAGGGTAACAGTTTATGAAGGAAATTTAATTTACGATAGTCTCGGATTAAATGAGAAAATTCGAGAAAGTATAAAGAAAAAAGTGAGCATAATTTTTCACGCTGCCGGACCGCACGACGCGGTATATCAATTTGCCGAAGATTTGCCAAAATTGGAAACGCTGGCAGCTATTACGACGATTTTCGAACACCGAGGATATATCCAGGAATATCTTCAAAATAAGAATACACCGAGCGTACCGTTAACATTGATACGCGTACCCCTTCTTGCACCACCCATTCGTGAACCAATGCCAGGCCACGTGGAAATATTCAAAGGAATAACCGCACTTATGGTTGGCGCTGGATACGTTAAGGGTAACCCTGAAAACCCAGCTGAAATGATTCCTATCGATATTGTTACCAACACGTTGATCGCAGCTGCATGGGAAAGAGCTCAACGGTAATTTATTTTCTCTCTCATTTATTTTATTATAAATAATTGTTTATCTTATATTGATTTTTTTGTGTGTGTTCTTTTCTTTTTTCTTTTTTTTTCTTATAATATATCAGAATATTTTTTCCTCGAGATTTTTTTTAAATGAATTTTGTAGATGTATCTAACTCTCGTGTTACATGAATTTTTTTTACTATAATATGTATATAATTTATACTTCATTCTTTTTTTGCTTTATCCCTCGGAAAAATTCGCAAATGGTTTAGAGGGCTGTGCGTTCGTTTATACTCGTGTTTTATAATTTTGTATGTTTTTTTTTCAAGCCCCTAAAAATATATTACATTGATACATAACACTGGTAGAACCATAAAATGTATATCTTTTAAATTACATTATATTAAATTACGCTACACCGTATACAACGTTATGCACACATTTACACACACACACACACACACACATTTGGCGAGTTAATTAATTTAAATATCGTGACTAATAAATCTTCAGATTTACTTGGATAAAGATTGTATAATACGAGATAAAACAATGATACGTTGATCAATTTCATTTGATTTAATTTCGCGATGTACATATAATCGTTCGCAATGTCGAACAATTTCGATCATCAAATATTATGTTACCATATTAATTTTGTATCAAAAAGAAAGGAACAACAAATCGTTACAATAAAGTAATAAAAAGAAACAGAGTGAGAGATAGAAAAAGAAATCGTATTGATAAAACGAAAAAATAACGAGAAGGAGAAGAAAAAAAGAAACCAAAAGAAATAGAAATAGAATACAATCGGTGATAATGAAAATTAAATATTTTGTATAAGTATCCGATAATATATAATATAAACGTTAATACCATAAAATAATGTTTCCTACGAGTTAATCCGAAAGTAAAGGCATCGGACGAATATAACCGTGTAATTTAAACCATCATTTTCCAGATATTAATTAAATTCTCTCACCGAGGTAACCACCACGATCGCATTAATCGTTTTATACACATACACCCTACGAATAATACATACACATCTATATATATATATATATATATATACACATAAATAATACACAAAATAATACATATACACGTATATATATACATTAATATGTATCTATATACGCGTTGTAAGTAACACACGTACGTTTTTACGATGATACTTTACAGAAATGGCAAACAGGTGTAAGGAGGGGGGAGGGAGAGGGGGGTTAACATTTTTCAACGTAATTTATCGAAAATCGAACTCATATGGAATTTTCCGTAAAAACGACAGAACCTACCCTTTAAGCTTTTATTTAAGTCGCGTCGTAGAAACGAACGAACGAACGAACGAAACGAGGACGAGGACGAGGACGAGGACGAGGACGAGGACGAGGGCAGCAGCAGCAGTAGCAGCAGCAATCGAAGAGAAACGAAGTAGGGGACGAAGGCTGAGCCAGAGTTTTACTGGCTTTCACGACTAAAAACCTTACGTTTGCTAGCAATTTCAACCTGTAGGTCTCTTACATTCCTTCTTCCTTCTTCCTCCCTTTCCCCCCCCCTCCTCCTCCTCCTCCTCCTCTCCTCCCCACCCATTTCTCTCTCTTTCTCTCTTTTATCTTTCTATCTTTCTATCTTTCTCTGAAGTATTTCCGAACGACTGAACCTCGCATAAGCTGATTGCATTCGACCTTTAAAAGAGATATCTCCGGTGCACTATACTTAGGTATTTCCTTTTAAAGTCGAATGCGACTAACGTTGCTACATGAACGAAACGGAAGGGATGGGATGGGAAGGGAAAGGAAAGGAAAGGAAAGGGTAGGGTAGGAAAGAGAAGCTAATCGTACGAACGGAAAATTCCCGAGTCACCGATATCATCCCTCACCGAAAAAGGAAGAGTACAACTTTGCTATTCCGTGAAAAGCCATTTAACGCGTCAGCTTGTCGAACTTTTCCACAAATTTACCAAAAAGAAAAAAAAAGAGAGAAAAAAAAAAAGGGAATATAGAAAAATAGGGCAATAACAACGAAGTAACGGGGATTAAAAAAAGACAAAAATTTCGAACCGTGGCGTATGTTACTTTTTTTCTCCCACCCCCAAGATTGATTTTAATTAACGAGCTTTTGCTAACGGACGAATGAAATTTCGTGTAAAATATTTGTATATAATAATAGATATTTGTAATAATACTTAATTAAGAAGTTTTAATATTACCTGCCCCGTCGTATTAACAATTGGAATAATAATAATAATAATAATAATAATAATAATGTATAATAATTATTCGACCTACTAATACGCAGTCATTTACACGTACAAAAAGCAGTAATTATTGAATACGAAAACAATAGTTAGGAAATTCCTACAATGATCAATGCTGATATGAATTTGGCATAGTTTATATCAATCCAAATCCTCTCTCTGCTAAATATATAATAATAATAATATTAATAATAATAATAAATATGCAATCCCCATTAACAAATTTAAAAGGTCAAATTTATTTTCCATATGGTACAACAAATTGTCATAAAATATTGGTTTATTTGTTCATAGTCCGAAAGATCTCGGTGCAGTTGTGTACAATACTGCGACGATTGGTTGTACATGGGGTGACCTAATTACGAAAGGTCAACAGGCTGCTAAAAAGTTTCCATACCCGACATTTGGAATTCGAGGAATAACAGCTATCGGCTGGTTACACTGGATAGTGGTAATTTTTCTTGAATGGCTACCATCGTTACTATGCGACACAATTGTTGGACTCTTTGCCGGAAAGCAAAGGTATGGAAAGTACATAACGAAATCGCGATGTTTTTAACTATATCGTTCGGTACCCTGACTCCTTTGAAATTCACTCGTGGAGAAAGCTTTTGATATGCACTTGTTCCTAGCGTTTGATGTACCACTGGAGGAGTACATGTACATATATATATATATATATGAACATGTATGTGGTGTATGTATATGTTGTGTGTACGTGTGTATGTATGTAAGAGAAAAAGAGACAGACAAGAAAAAACAAAAATTGAAATACCCCGTTCCTAAATTTCTCCTTTATGATATTAATGATACATCAAATGACACATTTCAATCCGATTTAAATGAATTATTTAAATAAAATTTCACGTGTCAAATTTTGTAATTCGCGTTTGACGTATAATATTTAATTTGATATTAATTAAAATTATTATTTTATTATTAATATTTAAATTTGTGATATATGTATATATAGATTTATAATTCGACACGAATTTCTCCGCTAACCAAATATTTGTACTATAATATAATTACAGTTAGGTATTGCTAGGTTTGAATATTAACATAAGCAATTATTAATTGAGCAGCAATAATAATGGTGAAAGTAAATAATTTGTGATATATTGTTTAATTTTTATGTAAAAAATTTGAAATTCGTTGAAAAAAAAAAAGAAAAGAAAAAAGATGTGACACTTTGTATACGCGTTTGATGTATTAGAAAAATCTGAAAAAAGAAGAAGAACAAAAATGTGAATCCTCGTTCTGTTTTTAATATCGGCATGCATACAGTGTCCTATTTGAATAGATTTAATTAATGATAGGGAGAAAATATGACTATCGAAGAAAAGGAACACACCTTGTATATTCGTATAGAACTTTATTGCATTATATGTATGTATATATATATATATATATATATAATATATGCGTATCGATTACGGTAGACTGAATATTCTCCGATATTTTCGAAAGGTCAAAGTTGAAAATTTCGTTATTTTCATGATTTCACGATTAACAACGGCATAGCAGTAGAAACAATCTTCTATGAACGATCCAATATCCTTGACATTATTCTCGAGAATTGAATTTTCGAACAAATTCGAGTGTATGTTAAAATGATGAAGGTGCATTTTTAATCATTAGAAAAAAACAATCGAGGCATTTCTCGGTCTTTCTCATGTTCTAAAAATACATTGTTTACATATAATTAAACTTCTATAATATTGTGTAACTTTCAAATTATTTACTTTGTATAATTACTGCACGATTAATTAATTATTGCTTACCGTTCCTCAAATTTTCTATATCTTTCTTTTAACTATAATTATATATTATAATACAAATATTTACGCTTTCCCGTAAAACCTGTGCCGAATTATAAATACATATATATATATATATATTTAAATTCCTAATAATTAAATATTAATTTTTTAATTAAAATTACTACAAAAAAATTGATATAGTTGGTTGAAAAGTTTTGAACCTATTCTTCTTTCCGATGTAAGATTTTAAAGACCTATACCGAAAAAAAGAACAAAAATTTGTTTCTACGTAAAGCTCAAAACTTTTCAATCCGTCCACATAATTTATTATATATTAAATAATAAATATATTAATCATTTTTTTTGTATAAAATCAATCGACACGTGTCAAATTATAAAAGTGTAACCTTTCGAAAGAAATTTTTCGTTAAATTATCGCAAATTGTTCAATGAACCCAATGCAATAATATTTAAAAAAAAAAACTCTATACGAAACTAAATTGAATAAAAGTTAAATTTGTAAAATAATTCACTAAGAGGAAGAAAAAAATATATAATCATAAAAGTTATTCAAGAATAGAATTAATAATTAAGCAATCGCATCCAAAAGAGTATATTTTTCAAACTTACGACTAACAATACCGAAAACTATTGTGGAATAGGAAACAAGAAAAAAGAAATATCGAAGCGGAAGAAGGGAACTCGTTTCTCGATGGAAAAAAGCTACCCCTATTTCACTCTCATCCACCCCCTCTTTCCCCCACCTTTTTTTCCCTCTCACTCTATCTTTCGATCGTTCATAAAGCTACCGTGTGTATGTGTCCCATGTATGTGTTATGTGTACACACACACACATATACAAGTAACCACAAGAAGAAAAGTTTTTCGAAAAAATCTTTTTTGAGAGTAGATAAATAGACACAAAAAAAAAAAGAAAACCAAGAATTTCTGAAATTTTCATCCTTCCGCATACACGCGCAGTATACTCACGCACACAAACAAACACAAACCTATACGTACAAAAACAAATATGTATTCTCTTATCACGAAAAACTCGTATTTTCGATCTTCCTCGACTATCGAAAATAGAAAAAAAAAAAAGAAGAAGAAGAAGAAGAAGATGAAGAAGAGTGGAAGGATTTCGGATAAGAAATGACGTTCAATGAGGCACTCTCCTCTCGTCCCCACCCACCTACCCACCCACCGCTTTCTCTCTCGATAGACAAAGAGGACCATTCGCAAAATAGAATCCTTAAAAATAGGAACAAAACAAAAGTAATAGAAAAATGTTCTTTTGAGAATGAAGAAAAATGGAGGAACGTTCACCGATCGAAATTTTTGTTTTTCCTGAGTTCACGTTTCCAAAGAAAAAAAGAAAAGAAAAAATACGATTGGACGTACCCAGAAAAATGGGGTTGGGGGGAGGGTTAGTAGAAAAGAAAGTAAAAAAGAAATAATAATAAGAAGAAAAAGGTAAGATAGAAAAGAATAAAGAGAGAGGAGATGGAATATAATTAGAAGAATTTAATTAAAATGGAATATATAAAAATTCTAAGAAGAAAAGTCGTGGCTTTAACACATCAGACACCAAGTATTCGTGATGTAATAAGGAGGAATGAGCTACTAACCGCTCTGATAATGGATGTAACCGAGAAAGTGCAACGCCGAGAGAGAGAGAGAGAGAGAGAGAGAGAGAGAGAGAGAGAGAGAGAACCCAAGAGCAGCCAGCCAATGGATGGATGCGGCAAAACGGCTTTCTAACTTTCACGTATACTCCCCCTGTCCCCCTGTTCCCCTGTTCCCCGCCCATCACCCCCCGCCTCCTCCTGTATACGAGGGATCGATCGATAATAGCAAGTACTATGAGAGAATGAGATAGATAGATAGATAGATAGATAGATAAATAGACTTGTTTTATCGTACCATATCTCGAGAATTTCTAAAGGAGAAAATTTACGAAAACCAACAACAATAATGATAATAATGATAATAATAGATATATACGTAATGACGTTGATGATAATGATAATATGAATGATAATTATTCGGTGACTGGGAACACTGTTTGCTAATTTAGGGTATATTGTTTCATGGAGTCATTTGAATTATTTGAGAAAGCAATTAGCTAATTATCGATATTCGTTATTTCTTATATATCGAAAATGAATATTTTAAATTAAATTTTTATAGACACAGGATAGATAAATAGAGAATTAAAATAATTAATTTATTTATTAAAATATATTATTTATATATTTAAAAGAAATAATAAAGAGATCATTTATATTAATTCGAAGGAAATCTAATGAATAATAAATTAAATCGATTAAAACGTGTGTATTAGATTATTTCAAAACTTAATTTTATCATTTATAATTATAAGAGGTGTGTAGTATATAATTACGAAAAGAGAAAAGAAATTGAAGAAAGCCAATCTAATAACATTAAAGCAAGGAAAATAAAAGTGTTTGATTATAGAGATTTAGTTAACAACTATGAAAAGAGAAAACGTTTGAATGTACGAAAGAGAGAGTGAGAAATTGATTGAGAATAAAATTACAACAAAAAAAAGTATCAAATAGGTGATTAAAAAAAAAAAAAAAAAAAAGAAAAAGAAAAATACAAAAAAATGTCTATGTTATTTATTCGTAGGATCGTGAAAGAGCACGAGAAAGTTCGCAAAGCTTTGAAGTCGGTGGAATCGATTGCATGGAGGTCGTGGAAAGTTGAGAGAAATCGCATCCATACGTTACACCAACATCTCAAACTGGAAGATCAACTGGCGTTTCCTCTGATCGTTGATGACGATATCGAGAATTACATACTTTGTGTGGTAGCTTCCGTTAAAAAAAATTGCGTGGAAAAAAACATTTTATCCACTTTCAGAAATATTCGAATATTGTTTCTCATTTTTTTTGGTCTTCTTATTATTTATTTCGTATTTTATATAAAATCTGTACTTATCAATTAAATATCCCCCTTCTCCTGTTTTCTTTGTTCCTTTTGTATTTTTTCATATTTTATTATTTCCCTATACACATTATCTGATATAATAATTCTATTAATATTTTTATTTCAACATAAAATATATGAAATTAATTTTTTAAGCTAATTTGTACATATATATATATGTATACATGTTACGAAATAATGATTATATCTGATATAAGTATGCTTTATATGATAATATACTTATGGTAATTTGTTAGAAGAAAATTAACATAATTATTTTTTGTTAAATAAAATATAATACTTCAACATATTTCGCACTACTACCGATAGCTTGTTATATAATACCAACGTGCCAAAACACACTGCGGTGTACTATAACTACCTACGATAACCCTATATCACCGAGAGGAAACATCTTGTCTCTCATGCATTTAAAATAAAATATTTATTCAGGTTAGACGAGAAAAATATAGAGAGAGATAGAGAGAGAAATAGAGAGAGAGAGAGAGAGAGAGAGATAGAGATAGAGAGAGCGTTAACGATCTCTAATAATTTATACATTTGTTCTTTTCGCTTGGAGAGAACAAGAATTAAAAAAAAAAAAAAAAGAAACAAAATAAGTAACTCGAAAAGAGACTCCAGTCTGCCATTTATTTTCATCCGTCGCTACAGTTTCATTTCCTCTTACCGAATCCAACTTGGCTTCGCATTGTTGTAAATTTTTCTACGCGCTTTTTATATATATGAATATATATATATACATTTGTATATGTGTGTGTTTCTTTTTTTGGCGATACGCCATCCTCTCTCTCTCTCTCTCTCTCTCTCTCTCTCTCTCTCTCTCTCTCTCTTTCTCTCTCTTTAATACATCCTTCCCCACCCCCCCCCTCTTTATATACATGTATATACATTGGAATGAAACATGCATGCATATATAACAATGTACGAATGGAACATAATTATTATCAAGGACTCCGAAGGAACTCGCGAAACACCCGACCCCCACCCCACCACTTTACATACGAAATTCCATCCGAAATGGTAAATTAATTGCTTCGGTAAGAGTACCTTGTCCTCGACAAAGCTACGACCTGTTCGGCCTTACTAAAGCTAGAAACGTTCAATGTCTAGGATCAAGTGGTGGTGTAACATCGCGAATAGCTAGCCTAACTGCTACGTGTTGTCTCGTTTTATTCCCTTAACTTCCTCGTTCTATCCTTGTTTAATTAACGACACTGCTTTTAAGACTTCTCAGACTGGACGGTTTTAACTTCAAAATGATTTTATCACTGGAATTTGGAAGAAATTTGAAATTAGACTGTAATCGTAATATTGTTAGAACTGTTGTTATTTTTATGTATATATATATATATTGGTTTGGTTAACTCATAGGTTTATGGAATATTCAAAATTCGTTCAAAAAAATGACAATAAATCATTGTCATTGTTTTCCATCAATTCGAGCTGATTTTTGTAACAATCTTACATTTCTAATTTTTAAATGTTTTATAACGTAGAGGTAGTCGTGAAAACATGTTTTTTACCACGCTTTGAAAATTTGAAACATGGGGAAGCATACGATATATACGATATTTACTATACACTTTATAAACGATCAAAGTGTGGTAACATATTTTTTTTTTTTTGCAAAACTTTGTTGTATACCACAAAATATTATACGTATTTTCTTTTATCCATCAATTCGACGTGTGTTGTGTGTCCCCGTAAAAATAGTTATAGAAAAATCTTCATAAACCTCTAGCGTTAAACGAAATTAATAATATATATAGACAATTTTGTTATTAATATTTTATCTTAGAATAATGAAAGATTAGAGTCAGAACGAAGTAAGTCACACGTCGTGATGGTTTTAAATATTACATAGCCATAATCCCGTAGAGAAAATTAGTAGAATCCCTATAAGAGGGGTTATTACTACGTGATCTAACGTTAAGTCTAAGCAGCTTCCGCGAAACAAGCCACGTATGATTGGAATTTGTCACCACTAATCTACACAAGGTTTGCCCTGCTAAACTAAAGCTTTTTAGAAATCTCTTATTCTTTCGTTATCATGTTGTAGCTCAAAACCACTGAAGTCCACCAACCGGTAGCAAGAAGAAAGAGAGAAATAAATGGAGAAAAAGAGGAAAGAGAGAGAGAGAGAGAGAAAGAGAAAGAAAAAACGAATAAAAAAGGGAAACTCGAGTAGCTTGAAAACCTGTACGGCACCTTAATTGCAAATCCTTCTTTACGACGACACTCCGACCACATTTGGTTGCTCATGTTTCTAACGAGTAGCTCGCTTTCGAAAAAGCTTCAAAAGCTTTCATCCCCCTTTCCCTATCTCTCTAACTCTTTCTTTCTTTCTTTCTTTCTTTCCTTTTTCGTAGAAATGGTGAATACTTTCTTTACATCCAAATTGAACATTTGCATTTCATATGAAATAGATAAAAAGATCAAGCGTGATTGATAATATTTATAAAATTAGAATACCCTTGGGCAAGTACCCTCTTTTACTGAATATTTTCATTTTATCCCTCGAAAAATTTAAACGTTTTAACGCGTTACGGAGATGAAAGCGTACCAAAAATTAAATGTAATTAAATGTAATAAAATTATTTCTAATTTACTTTCTTTTTTTCTATCTATTTTTTTTACATACAAAAATAATATATTCAATTTATTTTAATTTATAATATTCAACTATCTCATCTTTTTTCTTTTTTACCTATTACTCTGTTTATAATTTAAAATAATAATATTTAAATTAATTGTCATTATACATTATTAATTGGAAAAATACGATGTGAATTCATTCATTAGCTCAAAATTGATATCACTTTATTTCTGAACGTTTGCTATTTTCTAATCAATTTTCATATTGTCGGCTTTATTGACATACGACATATTCTAAAACAAGTGATAGATAGGAAGACACACGAACTAACTAACACCAATCAACGACGAACTTTAATTTGATTGGCTGTATCCTCTCCATACTGCTCACGCGTAGATTTCTAAAAACTTTGATGCTCGAAAGGTCATAAATGATATAAATTAATTATCAAATTAATACACAGATTGATATTAAACTAATTGATGAACTATAAAAATGATTTCAAACCTAATCACTTTCTCTCTATATATATATACATATATAAGAAATTATTAAAATAATCAAATAAATGTTAAATGAAAATAAATTTTGTAGGAGAGTGATATTACCGACAATAGATATTGAAGAAACCAGACTTATCGTGTAAAGTTTATATACTTTACTGATTGTCGATAATGTAGAAACTTGTTCTGACGAAACAAAGGAAAACCAACATGGCAAAAAATTACAATACTGTTAATTACATTTTAATAGGTTTCCGATAGAAAACCATGTATATTTGTCAACGGTCTAGCCACGTTGGATTATTAGTTTCTGTTAAATAATTAAAATCAAGTAATGTGGACACAATTAATAAAATGGATGAGTGACCCATTCGGAATAAACAGAAACGTGTGCTGCGGTACTAGAAAAGTGAGGAAGTGATGCACTTCTTTGTTAGTATTGGATAAACGTGAGAAGGTGTTCGTAGGAAATGACCGGTCCCATAAATAGGGAAAGTGAAAAAACAACCGTATATGGATATTTGTTTTAATACGTGATCAGTGCACGCCCCATAGTATTTGAAATTTATTTATTGTTTTTTATTCATAAAAATTATGGATTTTGTACTATCCTAGTGACATTACGTTAATATTGTGTAAAAACTCTATTGTACAAATGCCGGTTTCGCGTTCAAAGTTATCGAACAAAGGGCAGTGTTGAACGAAAAGATTTGGTCATACGTGTGGACTTCATAGTGTTAATTAATAAATAATATCGTAAACAACGAACATTGAGATCCGACATTTGTTCGATATTTTTATTTATAACATCAACGTGGATACCACCGGACGGCAAGTAAAATTCAATGTTAAATTTACTTGAGTAGATACGCAAGAGAGGGATTCATGTCGCGCATGACCTAAAGCAAATGTTAGAAACATACGTTTGAATAGGTTTAATATTTAATGCGGAAGTTATATATCAAAACATATTGAATCTTTAAAATATAATACTTATTGTTGGATTCATTTTCTACACTCCTCGTCTTCGTCCATCTTAAAATTGTATCTTCGAACGACTGTAAGTATTGAAGGAACAAAAAAAAAAGTGATATTGTAATAATAATTATCTTAAATGTAAACATATTAGTTCTTTATGAACATCAATTAGGTGTAATTTGTCATCTAATTAAACACCTATTCTTTATAGAATAATTTAGTAGAATTTATATCGTAGTTGATTCTAATGTACAATTGAATATCATTTCTTATGGTACGGTTAGCGTAGACAATGAACATCATAAAAATGTATATTGTTTATTAATATTCAATATATTTGGTAGAATCTTTATAAACTATTTAGTGTTTAAGCTTTTGTCTGTAAAGATTTATTTTTCTAACTTCAATTTTAAGTGCGAGCTAAGTGGAACGTTGTTTCTTTCAGATGTCGTTAACGGTTCAACAAATTATATTGGATGCTAAAAAATTAGTTATAAGAATATCAGATCATGAAAATGCTGCTGATAATTTAATTAGCGATATGGAATCTGTCCATAGTCAGATTGATAATATGAAACAGGTAATTACTATTGTAGTAATTATCCCTCTTGTTGTAATTAACATCAACGCAAAAGAGTACGATGAGATATTTTGACTTTTTGATCATATTCTTGCAGTATCAAGAAGAAATTGATATATTGAATACGGAAGCTAAACAAACACCTCATGTACAACTTATTGCCGGTATGCAACGTGAGAATAGGCATTTGCTTGAAATTCATGCCGAAAATAAAGAATTAAGAAACGCTTTGGAAGATCATCAAAACGCGCTTGAATTAATAATGTCCAAGTATAGGCAACAAATAGCTTCGCTGATGCGTCTCAGTAAAACAGATTCCTCATCTTTGCATAATACCAAATATGCTAACGTAAGTGAAAGCATATGTTCTTGTCGTTCTTATCTTTCATATTTGTTTTGTAGAAAACAAAATATGTACATACATATATATATATATAAATTTTTTCAATTCAGATAATTACAAGGCAAGCGGAAAAAATAAATGAAATGGCAGCTGTAATGAAAACAGCTGCATCATTAGATGAAGAAAAAGAATGCAAAGAAATGGAAGCGTTTCATTGCTTGAAAAAAGAAAACGATGGTTTGCGAGAGGTTCTTAATATCGCCAACAAATTTGGTTCGCTGAACAAAAACATTTCGGTTGAAAATAAGACAGTACAAACGGATCCGTTATAACTTTGAATTTCTAGACCCTTTTGTATACAGATTGCACAGTATTCATTTTATACTACAAATTACAACCATATAGCATAAATACAGTAAATATATATATATATAAATATAAATATAAATATATATAATTCAGGTGGCAAAAGCAATAGGAAACCGTATGTACAAAAATTAGTTTCTATATCTTCTTTGTTATATACAGAACAAAAAAAGAAATTAAATAATAATAATAATATATAAGATTTGTTAATAATGATAATAACATATTTTTCGGTATCAGTATAACAATTTTCCTTATGATGCAGTAGCGAGTTTAAAAAACAAACGGAAATACGAAGGAAGCGTTTAACCAGTTAGCTGTGCCGACATTTTGAAAAGGGTGTGTACCTAAATTGCGTCGCCAAAACAGAGGAAGGGTCGACTAGTATACTCGTCAAACATAGAATATGTGTAGCTGTTATAATATTGAATTAAAGTGTAATCAAATGACTGTCTTATTTTAATATAAAATTGATTATTAAACAAAAAAAGAAAAAATTTAGAAAGGAAAGAAAAGAATCACTTTGTTCACACTATATATACCGTATTTTCATAATAATTATTTATATTATTCTCTTTTTGTTCCGTTTTTATTTTGTTATTCTCCAAATATTTTCGATATCTTAAAATTTACGAATATATTATAATTTTTACTAAAATTACAATTTATATAAATAGCAAATAGTAACTATTTTTTTTCACGTGACGAGTATACTCGTCAATCACATTTAAACTGGTTAATATGAATGAATAAAATTCGAAATATGCAATAGTTACTCAATTATAAAACTATCATAAATCGCTTCGTTGCTGCAACAAAGATAAACGATTTATAATTTAAAAAAAAAGGTACTAACATATTTCTTTTCAATATTCCTGCATTATTTGTTTATCTTCAATACGCATTGGTGGAATGATGTATAAATCAATTTGAAACGAAAAAAAAAGTTAAGAAAGAAAAAAATTAACTGTATTTATACATATATATCATAGCACGTGTGTAGTAAAAATATTCTGTAAGAAAACAAAAAACTCGAATTATTATTTGAATACGCGTAAAGAAAAAAAAAATGAAAAAGAATTGTTTAAGTTGTCGTGTATAGTAGTGATGTAAAAATTGTATAAACATTCTTTCCTCTCAAATTCTCATATTGTTTTATCACGTTATTCAAAAAAACCTTAAACCTTAAACTAGAATTAATCTGCAACATGCCACGCCCTGCGTGTTCTCTGACGCAAACTGGAATTTTACTATAGGAATATTATTTTACAAATCCGTTTGAAAATGTCCGTTTTTTAAAACATCTGTTATGTTTCATAAGTAATCGGCAAAAGCCTTACAAACGATGGTGCCCTTAGGTTTCGATACAAAGTCGTTAAGAAAACAATTTTCCACTTTTTTTAAAGAATTGTTGGAACGTAGAAATACATTCAATAATCTTTTTTTTCTTCTTAACTTGGTGATTTTATTAGAAATACTAGGATACACACAGGATTGTGTTTAGAAATACTAGGATACACAATTGTATTTAGAAATATTTAGCATTTTTTCCAGAATATTTTACCACCTACTGGGTAAGTTATAAATGCCACAATAGAAAAATGGCAGTGCCATTGAAGCTATTGAAATTTTCTATGCATTTTTAGACTTCTTTAAGCGATTTGATATATCCTTAAAAAATAGTATTGAAAGGTTTTAACGACGAAAGTCCGACGGGATCAGGGTTCAAAAAATAAGCCGCATAAGGAAGGACCTGCCCATTTCAAGGAATAAATGGCCTATGTGACTAAAGCAACGTACAGAAAATCATTGCCATGTTGCAAGATAACTTGCCGTGTCCTAGTAATCAGTAAATCAATATTTTGCACGTTTATTAATTAAAACATACCTTTTTAATATCGCACAAATTATTTCAATAATTTCAATAGCTGATTTTTCCATTTGAGATACGAAAAATATTTAGTGACGCGAGTGACACGTCATAACGTTTTAGATTGTTTTGAAAGACTAATAATTCGTACGGAACATTAAATAGTACTTTTTATGATCAAAAGAATATTCTTTTAAATGGCATCAAAAGGTCGATAAGAAATTCGAATTCGTAGAAAAGTAAATGATCGTTTAAAAAAAAAAAGGCACTGAATTAATTTCTATACCTTATTAGTATACCATTGGAACCATAAGGAAATGGACAAATAATTAAATTAATAATTAAAAAATAAATAAGGATAGGTAATAAGAAAATATCTTGTACAACGATTCCTTAACACTAAACATTATAATTACCGATCAGTGAAATATGATCGATTTTTAATTTGGATATTTAAATTTTGCTTTTAATGTTACTCTTTTTCTTCAGTTAACTTTAATTTTCAACTGAAATGTTAAATATTATTTAAAAGAAAAAAGAACTATTTTATTTATTATTTGGTATCTAATTGACTGTTATTTACATTAAATAGTAAAAATATAGAACTTGTTAAAAATCAGTCATTATTTGACGAGTTAGGGTCAATTAATGTTAGATTTAGTGTTCAAAAAAAGAATCCACACATGAAATAACGTTCATCGCAAAGAAAAAATGGCAAAAATCTACACACGAATCGAATCGTAATCCTCGAAATTTCCAGAAATTTTATAAAAAGAAAAAAAAGATTTGAAAGCAAAAGAGAAAAGCAAGAAAAAAGAAGATTAAAATTTCAAAGCTTCTGGAAACAATAAGCCCGTCAAAAAGTGAGTATTCTTTAAAATTACTAAAAAAAGAAAAAAACATGGTAAATTGTACAACAGATTGAAAAAATACTTCAGAAATATTAGACGATCCTAATTACGAGAATTTTGTAGATTCGGGCTGATGACCCTTATAACGAGAAATTTTTAACTGTGAGTAGAACCTTAAATTTTATACCTGCAAATATAACAGATAGAAGTATTAGGTTAATTATATATATAAGTAGAATTGTGCTGAAAATTCCTGCCAATTTTATAATGAAAAATAACCAAAGGAATTGGTGATTGATTTCCGAAGGAGATATACGATTGTAATTTAAATTATTTTAAAAAAAAATATGAAAAAATGTAAAGACAATACGGTTTATATTTTGTAGTATAAACTTCTAAATCGGCATATTAATCTTCTCCAGACAATATCTAATAGTATAAGTATTAGATTATTTCCCTAAAGGAAGTCCCTGTTGACTTTAACAGAAATATTTGTATGTCACAGGGAATAAAGCTGGGCAAGGATTTTCTAGACAGCTCAATACGATCAGTCAATTGAAAGATTTTAAGCCTAATCTTACCAAGAATTTCTTACAATGTATTAAAAATAAAAGTGAACATAACCATAAAATCGTTTTACTAATTCGGTTAGCAAAACAAAATTATTTTAATGCTAGATTTCATCTTTTTCAATTAACCCTGGCATATAAAATGAGAATTCAGATATAATTGCAGCCATTATTATTATTGTTATGTATTTTTATCTGTAATCAAATTCTAAGCGAAGGTATTTTTTGGTCAATTGAAATTTGAAAATAATTCCAACAATGTTATTAATCACATTTCCATAGAATCAATTGTCTCAGTTATTCAAACTCACGTTGTCTATTGGCCTAAAATTTGTTAAAAATATTTCCAAAATTTTACAAATTTGTAATATCTTATATTTTATGTATAGAATGGCATTAAAACAGTGAGTAACGGATCTTTCAATTCGAAAGGGTTGAAAAAGAATCTGATCTTAGGTATGGATCGCATTCGAAAATTTTACGTGAAATTTTTGTAGAGTCCCAATACGTTCGGACATTCAAATTGCAACAAAAGAATAGCTTGACAGTTATTCATCTATCGCTCTGATCAAAGATAGAAAATAATACATTTGGTACACAAAAAATTTCTATAGAACGACATACGCATAAAAGAGCAAATTTATTGTAACTAAAAATACAATGGAAAATGTAGAAATCGTCAAAGAGAAGACATTCTCGATGAAATTTGAAAATGTTTTTTAAAAAGAACAATGTAGAAATAGAATAACAAACCAAATGCTTCACCAAGAATATTCCAAGTTATGGTCAAGCTATTGCCTGACCAAAATTTACTTCGAAATCCAACCATAATAAAGAAATTAATAATAGAAGTTTAATCATGACGACGAATCAATCGCGAGTCATTTATTTTGCAAAAATTCTTATCAACAATTTTTCAGACTAATTGGATTGAAAAATTCTAAATCTCCAAGCTGAATATTCTATATTTAAATATCAATAATGTACACCAAACAAATTAGGACACGTTTTTAAACAATTTAATTACTCCATATCTCTCATAATAAAAAAGTATGAAAAATATAAAATTACATTAAATGAACAATTAAACCTCCGAGGTAAAAATGTGTTAGTCATATTACGTTTACAAATTTTTATTATTCAATATACGTAAATTATAAATATTTCTCAAGATTAATAGATAACCTGTTATTTAATCAAAACAATCGGGCCGATTTTTGTATAAACGATCAAAATATTAAACCGTAAAATTAGTCACATTAAAAACGAATATTGTTTTTAAAGTTACTGTATATAGATTTCTTTTTTTTGTCTTTTTTTTTTTTTTTTTTCATATACACCCAAATATTGTTAACAAAATTTGCTCGACGAATTCTCTCACCAAACGAAATTGTATAGAACATAGGACTCGAATTAATTTTGTATACAAATCATTTTTTATTAATATATATATTTTAGATTTCCAACTAGCTCTTTCCATATTGAGCTTTCAATTAGCAATTTTGTTAAAGCGCGTATCCGCGTGCGTGCATGCGTGCGTGCGTACGTGCGTGCGAATGACATTCAATAGTATTGCAAATTCGTTTTCTTATTTATCAGTTTAATTTAAATTTACTGAATCGTCTAGCTTATATTTTTTTCATTTTCTAACTCGGAAAACTTATGCTAAGATTTTAATGCCAATTTTTGAATCTGACGGTACACGTTTGGAAAAGAAAAAAAAAGGGACAAAGAGAGAGACACAGAGAGAGAGAGAGAGAGAGAGAGAGAGAGAGAGAGAGAAAGCGGAGGAGAAAAAGAGAGAGATAGTGAGGGAGAGAAAGAGAGAAAAAGAGAGAGAGTGAAAGATAGAAAGAGAGAGAGACCCCGAAGAAGTTTTAAACACGATCTCGAACCCAAAACTTTCAGCGACGCACAAAATTTAGCTATGGGCACGTTTATACCCCTCGTGTGCTTCTCTGTTCGTTAGTTTGCTTCTCCTCCCCAAATTCCGTGCCGAGTAATATTTTGAATAATTCCTATTTCAAATAATATTTCAAATAACAAACTATATATTTTTTACAATAGAAATATGTAAAATCATTATTTGAAATATAAAGTGATTTATTAAATGAAACGTCAGTAAATAAAATATTTGATTTTGATAATGATAAAACGTTAAGTAACATATATATAGATATTTGATTTTGGTGATTTGAAGGTGAGAAACATCGAATAAATATTTTATTTATTATTAACGATTGAAAATAATATTTTATTCGGTTCTGGCTAAATTGTATAGCCCTAAATTCAAGGTCGCTTTTTCCTTCTTTTCCAGCCCTATTTCTATGTTCCCAACCAATCAACGCGAAAGGGTTTTTTTTATAATAGCACGTCCTTGGAATTGATAATGCCTTTTAGCGTTCGCTGCATAGCACCTGTTATTCTTACTTGATCTTTGTTATCAATAGTTTATTTCATTTAAATCCAGAGATTTGTCTAGCATTGAATGCAATTCTGAAAGAAATCATTTAATTGAAAGTATTTAGTTAATAATATGTTAATTATATAATCTACGTTTTTCTTTCTTTTTTTTTTTGCTCATCAGTTAATCTGTTACAGTGTCGATGTATTTGACTTACATTAGCAAACATCAAAATCATTTGTATTTTTCCCAATGTGAGTCAGGAAAATTCAAGGCTAAGAGATACGTCGCTAATGATCTAACCTTTTATCTTCCTTTTCCTTATTTCTACCTAAATTCACACGTATATGCACTATATACAATAGAGAGTATACCCATTACACCGTAATTCGTGTAAAAGATATATAGTTTGTTTTTCATTGATTTCAATACGAAATATTTGGAGGAG